GGGATTATCATGAAATGCCGGGATTAGGACGAGATGTGGTTGAGCATAGATTGCCAATTAAGAAAGGATTCCGACCACACAAACAACCACCAAGAAGGTTTGCACTAGAAATTGTGCAGAAGGTCAAAGAGGAAGTTGAACGTTTGTTGGCAGCCGGCTTTATTAGAACTGCAAGATATGTCGAGTGGTTATCAAATGTCGTACCAGTTAAAAAGAAGAATGGAAAGATAAGAGTGTGTATAGATTTTCGTGATCTAAATGCAGCAACCCCAAAATATGAGTATCAAATGCCAATGGCAGATATGTTAATTGATTCAGCATCTGGCAATGAGATTATGTCATTAATGGATGGTCATTCGGGTTATAATCAGATATTCATATCAGAGGAAGATGTGCATAAAACAGCATTTCGATGTCCAGGAGCTATTGGGACGTTCGAATGGTTGGTGATGCCATTTGGATTAAAGAATGCCGGAGCAACTTATCAGAGGGCTATGAATTTTGTCTTCCACGATATGATTGGGGATTTCATGGAAGTTTATATCGATGATATCATCATCAAATCAGACCAGGTAAGTCATCTAACTTATCTTAAGCGTGCTTTTATAAGGATGCAGAAATTTAAATTGAAAATGAATCCTTTTAAATGTGCTTTCGGGATAAGAGCTGGCAACTTTTATGGTTTATGGTTAATCAGAGAGAAATAGAAATAGATAAGAATAAAACTAAAGCTATTCTAGAATTGCCGCCACCCATAAGTAAGAAACAATTGCAGATGATGATAGAGAAGATAAATTTCTTGCGTCAATTTATTGCTAATCTGTCAGGTAAGATAGAAATATTTTCTCCATTGCTTAAACTTAAGAATCAAGATCAATTCATTTGGGGGAAAGAGCATCATCATGCTTTTGAGAAGATTAAAAAATATTTGATCAGTCCACCAGTTTTGATGCCACCCAAGCCGGGTAGACCGTTGAAGCTTTACTTGTCGGCAACTAGCAATACCATTGGAAGCATGCTGGCACAGGAAAGTGACAATGGAAAAGAGCAAGCAATATATTATCTCAGCCGGATGTTGAATGATGCAGAAAAAAGATATACTCCGGTGGAGAAATTATGCTTGTCATTATACTTTGCTTGTACAAAATTACGTCATTACATGTTGCCGACAACAGTTTAGGTAATTTGTAAGACAGATATTATTAAATATATGTTAACTCGCCCAATTATCAGAGGAAGAATTGCCAAATGGGCTTTCGCTTTATCCGAAATACATTTGATATACGTGCCGCTTAAAGCAGTTAAAGGTCAGGCGGTTGCCGACTTTATTGCAGAATATCCATGTGTACATCTGGAAGAGGAGAATGTCGAGGGATCGATACAGGTGGTACCATGGACATTGTATTTTGATGGATCAAGTACGACAATAACATCTGGTATTGGGGTCTTGATCGTATCCCCTCAGGGACATCGAACAAAACTTATGTGTCTGTTGACACCTAAATTTTGATTAACCATTTAGTGATTAATTGCATAGAAAATTAGGGATTAAATTTTAACCCCTAAACAAAAATATTAAAATTGCATAGCATATAGTTTAAGTTCATTTAGGTTAGTTGCATTCCGTATCGGACCGGTGGTGGCGAGTAAGCTGAAAATTCATCGCGTAAACCGAACTCGAGCACTCGGCTCACTCAAGGGATTGGGGGCCAAAATTCACATGTCTAAAAGGCTTTGGTTGTTTTAGTTTGAGCTTAAATCAGCCCGAATTAATTTAGCCCATTTGGAATTAAAATAAAATTAAATGATAAAGCCTAAGTCTAAGCACATTAGGACTAGGAAGCCCGGTTAATTAACCTAGGGTTGCGATATAAATATGTCGTTATGCGTCATAATTAATGGGGGGACTCTCACAATTTTCAGAACACGATTTTTGAGAGGACGAGAGACACACGTGAGCGTGAGCGAAAAGAGAGAGAGAGAGAGCTTGGCCTGATCCTCCACGGCCAAGCCCCCATCCTTTCGTGGCCAGACCTGTGGCCGCACCCCCCGACGACTCGCCGCTGTTTTCCTCTCGCTAGACCACAAACAATCCCGGCGAGTTCCCCAACTCAGTCCCTGAAGGTTGCTGATTTCCTGCTGACGTTACCGCGGTTTCACGGTACGCTATCCAACCCGGTCTCCATCAACATTAGCGAGACATTCAAGAGCCGAGAGTTCCAGCACCTGCTCAAAGAGAAAATTCAAAAGAAAATAGCACAGAGAGAGGGTCAAGTGGTGAAAAGGGAGGACTTTGACCATCGCTTGAAGAGAGGAATCCTTGCTGAGACCAACAGGTGGCCTTGACGAGGAAAAGAAACATTCGGCAAGCCCAGCTCCAACGAAGCACCATCGTTTGCGTTGATTCGATCGGTGACGTCCTCAGCAAGCTCTCCTTTGCGTCCTCCATATTTTTATTGTGATTTGCAGCTGCCACTGCTGTGTCAAGCCAACGTCCTTGTCGATGCTGTACCGCCCACGACAAGCCGAACCAATGCCGCTCGGCCCGTCAAACTGACGCCGCTCGGCCCGTCGAACCGACGCCGCTGCCGATGTGGTGTCCGTGAGTCCAGATTAGCCAAGCTGCCGCATCCGCGAGCCACCACCATCGCCGCCGGCTCTCATCATCGCTGCCGCGTCTACCGTCGATCACCCACCGTCGGTCACCGTCCCGATCCGCAATCCCGGCGATTCAAATTTGGAAAGAAATCCGCAAACCCGATCCGGCATCAAGCTCGAATTTGAAAGTTATCCGTAAATTAGGTAAGAAACTTTATCCGATATCGTTTCAAATATTTAAATTCCTAATTCGAGTGATTTTGTTGTCTTTGGTTGGTTAGTAGATATATTTGAATGATGCATGGCATATTCGCAAGATTCCAAAAAATACACTAAGTTAGGAAATTCCTAACTTAACAATGTGTCGGGACGACTATCCGATCTCAACCATGAGATATGATACTCGGTGGCACGGAAAATCTTTATCTTATCCATAACTATTTGGATACGATAGTAGATTTTATTTTGTTCCCAAATTCAAACGAATAGCCTTCCATCAATATCCATAACCACATGGATATGATCGCCAGTTTATATCGTTTCCCTAATTCAAAGATAATAAAACAAATCTTGCGGATCGCGTGGATTGATTTTGATCGTGGTGGTTATCTGCCTGTTTGATTTATTTCCTTTAAAAAGAAAATTCCAAAAAAGATTAGTTAGGATTTGAATTGATCTTTTTAGAAGATAATGATGCATGTTTAAGATAGGTTTAGAATAACTTTCTTTGAATAAGTCGATAGGATGACTTTTTAATTTAAATTAGGAATTAGAGTAATTTATTTCCTAGTTTAATTTAGATATTATCCTGATCTCGATGGTTCATTTTAGGGTAATTCTTGATTTCGAATTTTCATAAAAATACCAAAAAGAAGTCACTTTAGGATAGATTAAATTATCCTTTTTTAGAATAGATTGCATGTTAATTTAGGCATTTTTTTTAATTCCGAAATCCATTCAAAAATAAATCATTTGTCCGTCATTAGAATTAGGTCACGTCGTCGCATGACATATAGTTCGCATGCTATGTTGCATTAATCGCATGTCATTTTTTGCACGTCATTGCATATAGATTAGTTTGCATTTTAATAAATCGCAAACCCTAATGAACACCTTGAGTACCTTGCTTTGTTAATTAGAAATCATATTAGGATTGTCTGTGTGATTTTCTACTAACAATGCGGATGCTTGCGTGGCTTTAAGGTATATTATCCTGCTATTTATTTACTGCTTTCTTGGGTGTTAAATTGGTGGTTTGCGCACCCGCGTGAACATCTCACATGTTAGTGATTAGGCAATAAAATGGATCCAAACTGCATGCATAAACATTTTTTTGAAAAGAAAAGGTACCGAAAGGGCGTTAGTCTAGATCTAGCGTAATCAAGTCCCCGAGCTTAGAATCTCTGGTTCGTAGGAATAAAACATATCTCCCTATGTTTTATTTAGGTGTCTAATCGACCTACCACAAATAGATTAGTGGCGACTCCAAGCATGAAAATTTTTGCATGTTAAAAAACTTAAACCCTGAGTTGCGAATTGGTAGGGCTTGGGAGGGCCCGAGTTAGGCTCAGTCTTAACAATCCATTAGCCTGAGAAATTTTAGGTCGCGACAGTGTCGACTTGATTTTGATTGCTCCAATAATCAAGCAGAATATGAAGCGTTAATTGTTGGCCTTAATATATTGGCTGACATGAACGTTAAGTTTGTAAGAATAAAAGGGGATTCCCAATTAGTGATCAATTAGTTATCGGGAAATTATCAATGCTTCAATGAGAATATTGTTCGATATTTCGATATGGCGAAAGTTTTATTGAACGAGTTCTTTGATTATGAACTAGAGCATATAAAAAGAAATGATAATGCGGAAGCCAATGAGTTAGCTCAAATGGCATCTGGGTATAAAATATCAAAAGAATTAGCAAAACTTATTGTTACACAAACAAAAACTTTGCCATCGATAGACAATCGAATTATGATTATACAGTCCAATAGAGAGCATATCGATGTTGATGAAGAAGATTGGAGAAGACGTATCATTTAATATCTAGAGAACCCAGTTTCTAATGATAAATCCTTTAAAAAGCAAGTGTTGAAGTATCTGCTGTTGGATGGAGAATTATATCGAAAAACAATTGATGATGTTTTGCTGAGATGTTTAAGTAAAAGAGAGTCATTTATAACAATGGCAGAGGTGCATGAAGGAATATGCGGTGCGCATCAAGCGGGTATAAAAATGAAATGGTTATTAAGGCGCCATGGATTCTTTTGGCCAACAATGACTCAAGATTGTATTGATTATGCTAAAGGGTGTGAAGCATGCCAAAAACATGGACCACTGCAACATGTCCCTGCGGCAATTATGCAACATATTATCAAACCGTGGCCATTTCGAGGATGGGCAATGGACATAATTGGAAAAATATATCCTCCATCATCTAAAAAACATAGTTTCATATTGGTTGCTACGGATTATTTCACCAAGTGGGTCGAAGCCGCCTCGTATAAGAACATAACTCAGAAAGTAGTAAAGGAATTTATAGAGGAAAGAATTATTCATCGATATGGAATACCAGAAACAATAACGGCAGATCAGGGTACTGTATTTACTGGTCAAGAAGTTTTGGGGTTTACCAGATCCAGGGGAATCAGGATGCTTCATTCAACTCCTTACTACGCTCAGGCGAATGGGCAAGCGGAGGCATCTAATAAGGTTATTATTAATCTTATTAAAAGGCATTTGGAAGAAAACCCTAGAGAATGGGATTCACTCTTATCGACAGTATTATGGGCCTATAGAACATCGAGGAGGTCAAGTACGGGAGTAAGCCCATACATGTTAACTTATGGCCAGGAAGCTGTGCTACCTGTAGAAATTACAGTACAATCATTAAGGGTAAAATTACAAGGGGGCATGACCAAGGAAGAATATGACGAATTGATGTATGGAAACATTGAGGAATTGGGAGAAAACAGAGTCATGGCTTTGGAGAAATTAATTGCTCAGAAGAATAGAGTTGCTAAAGCATACAACAAACATGTGAAGGAAAAACGCTTCAACGTTGGTGACTTAGTTTATAAAACTATTTTGCCAGTGGGTTTGAATAATGAAAAGTTTGGAAAATGGTCACCAAATTGGGAAGGTCCATATTTAGTTACACAAATTTTAAGTGGAAATGCTTATCATTTGATGGATATTGACGGGCTTGAAGAAATGCCTAGATCAATCAACGGAAAATACTTAAAGAAATATTACCCTACTATGTGGGAGATGAAGGAAAATGAAGAAATTGATAGTCATTCAACATAAGAGTCCATAAAACAAGTTGGCAAACTGAATGGTCGAAGGGGTCGAGCTAGCCAAACCTAGGGGTCGGATTTACAGAAATAGTTTAGGCATCATTACATGATCATTTTAAACCGATATGACGCCTAAACTTGTTTACAAAGCTGCACAGACGACTCTCCAGATGACGATTCTCGTCTTCAGCATGGAAACAGGCAGAAGAACTTGTGTTCCTGGCCGAATAGGCCTGGTTACACTCTGCTTCTAGTGCTGTGAGGTTGGCGAATCATGCGTTAGCCTGCTCGTCCAAGTAATCCACCAGCGACCTGTAGGAGTTGATGTCTTCGTCTATCTGGGCTAGCAGTTCAATCAGCCCTTTCTTTTCTCTCTTCCGCTGCTCTTTTTTCGGATGTCAACTTGCCTCGGAGACGACGGGTGGTGATGTCCAGTAGATCGGCTTTCGCTTCCCTTGTTCGAGTCAAACTACTTAGTCCTGCACGAGCAGGTTCCAGAACTTTGAGCCGGTCAAAGTATACTTTCTCAGCTTGAGTGACAAGGTTAACCTTGTTGAAATAATCACCCTCAACGATTGCATGTTGTTCGATTGTCAGTTTATTTTCAGAAAAGGCTTGAACACCATGGGGAAAAATGCTGCGAAATTCATTAAAGTCAAATCTGAAAGGATGGTCAGATGGAAGGAACTTAGGTTCAGCTTCTTTGAGGAAAGTGAAGATTTCGTCCACAGCCCGGGATTCGACAGACAGATAGGCATAGGTGAAGGACAAGCGACACAATATGTCGTTCCACAAGGAGATAAACTCCTCGGTGAAAGGTGAGGCATGAGAAAAGAAAGGAAAGTTGGACGCCATGTTTGAGGCGGATGAAGTAAAAATGGAGGTAGAAGGGTATAAATAGACCCAACGTGGTAACCAACTTCACCCACGATGAAGAACGTGGAAAAATTTGAATGAAACAGTTCCCGCTGAAAATAATTTATTGAAAGGAAATATCAAAATAAAGACAATAAATTCAAAAGAAATGGAGGAGACTTTATTGATTAGAAGTTTTCTTGGGGAACAACAGTTTCTTTACATCACTTTGAAGGGACAACATACTATGGTCAAATTGACCATTCTCAGTTATACATTTGTTTTTGGTACGTCGATTTTCAGCTTCGATTGCTAGTCGACGTCAATGCTCAGTCTGCTTGAGGTCTTTGAGAATGGTAATATCTTTGTCAAAGTCCATCTCCAGTCGAAGCCTCTGTGTGTGTTTGAGTTGCCGAGTATCTTGAAGAAAAGCCAACCTCTGTTCAATCTCTGCTTTCTGCTTTTCAAGATGAAGTTCTTCCTCATCGAGTCCAGATATTTCTTCGACCAGGGCGTGAAGGTTAGTCTACCTCTCCTTTACAGTATGACTGAGCTCGTTTATGACTTGATTATTCTCGGCAGAAGGTTGATCAGAAAGAGTTAAAGACATAATTAGGTCATAATTACGTTGATATGACTCTATCCTACTGACAAAAGCTTTTGAGAAATCATCAAGTTTGGCCTTCAGTTCTAGGGGCAGTATTTCACTAGGTTCAGCACTACATAGCTCATCAAGTAGAAATTTCAGTCGATCAAAAGCTATCTGATTGCATAGAAGCATAGAAAAACCCCCACTAGAAAGGTCTAGAAGTCGCAATAGTTTATCTCTGACCTTTTCAATAGCCATCTGCCTTGGGGAAGCTACATCTGAGGTAAAACCCTGTATATGAGAAGCCTCGTCTAGCATGCGCTTAGTTTTCAAGAGAGACTCCGGAGAATTTATTTCTTCGGCAGAAGGAATTGAATAGCTCGAAGAAGGCTGTGTCAAAGGAGCAGAACTCTGTACTGGGACAAGAGCAGTGGCCAGGGCCAAAGTTGAACTAGAAGGGTTGACTTCAGTAGAATGGACAGGGGAACCAGAGGTGATGTGGCTATCGATGGGTGCAGTACTGGCAGTTGGCTGAGGTTCTGAAGTTGCTGAGATTAGTGGTATCGAATCATTTAAAGATCCTGAAAATAGAAAAAAAATCAGTCGTTGAGACATATAGTGAATTATAACATACCATTATAACACAAATACCCTATTTCGGTGCTGTGAGGAGTAATATGGGCGGATCAACAGTTGCAACCTCAAGATCAAGGTCAACAGAAAGTCCTGCTTTATATTGCCAGTAATGAATTGCTAAAATCTAATCACTTTGCATTGAATAAAAAGAACAAGTAAAGAATGGTACAACAAAGGTATACCATTTGAATTGTCTTCAGAATGGGTGAGATTGACCTAAGAATCCGAAACCTCTACAGGATTGACAGTGGCCATAGAAGAAGAAGCTGATGTAGTTGAGGGGTTAAGACGTTTTCTTTTGATCAATACAGCAATTGGTTCTTCATCTGCGTTCTCAATAGACTGACTAGATGATGGAGATTCTGTAAGAACAAATACCAGGGTTAAGAGGTAATGTGGGGATTATATGAAATAGAAAAGACTGCATTAAATGGATACCTTGCACCGGATCAGATTTCCTCTTGCGAAGAGATGTGTTATCATCGGTTAAAGGTTGATCCATTGCGGTAGCACAGTACAATCGGGTCCGAATAAGGGCACTTCTTTGGGGAACCACTTTCTTGGAAGAAACTGTCAATTTGGCCTTAGCACTTTTGATTTGTGTCCCTTGAGTTATCCGCAATTGCCCTGATTCAGAACTTGGGACATCCAATCCTATGGAAAGGGCTTTCTTACCCTTCCTACCTCTACTCCTTGGCTTAAATACGCCTCCTGCTATTTGAGTCAGCATGGTTTGAGTAGCCTCCTCATAAGGGCTTTCAAGACAGAAAGAAAGCCACCAAGAAGTCCATGCAGGAGTACATCCAGGCTTAGGTTCGAAGTCATCAACATCAGGGGCAAATTTGGCATACATAAGCCGAGTGATTTCAGCACAGCATGCGAAGGGGGCATCCTTCTTGAAAGGATATTTTTGTTTCACCATGCTTAGGAATTCAAGAGAAAAAGGAATTGGCATGGGAATGACTTGAACTAAACCAAACTGCCTGGCGCAGTATTGAGGAGAATAGATCTCAAAGTCATGGTAAAATTTGCCTTTCTGGGATAGCCTTAGAGGAAGGTCCACAGGAGTAAGGATGTGCAGCCAAAAGTTAGTCGAATTAAGGCGAGCTATCGAATCAAATAATAATTGAATTCATTTGCATCATAAGCAAAAAATTCAATTTCATTTGGTTGAACTGTCAAGAGTTTATGAAGGTAAAAAGCCGAGATACTTAATGAGGAATAACTGAGTAAACGACATCCAAAGGGAAGGGGTGTTGGTGGCTGGAATTCTGGAAAGGAATGATGACGAAAGGTGCGAGGAGCGTGAGTGGAAAGAAAAGGAAAGTAATGCACCATCTAGCATTGAAGTATCCACAATGGTCCAAACAAAGTACCTTCATCTTTGGACGTCATTGATAAAGATGCATGAGTTATTCCTCGATACAGAGTAGCTAGCATTAATGGTGCCAAAGCAAGTGTTTTACCAGCAGCAAGATTGGCTACAAGTGGTAAGAAATCTTTGGAAATTTTCAGTGTGGGAGCAAGGAAAACATATTTAGACAACCAGAAGAGAAGAAAACAAGTACGTTCGTCAGAGTTTATTGGTTCAACACTAAGAGAATATGTTTCCAAAAATCTACTATAAGCAAGATGTTCATCAGGAATAAAGGGTACTGATATCGAAGTCATATCGCTTATGGGGGTCCCAATCGGAGAAAAATTAGTAATGGCATATATGTCCAAAAGAGTAACAGACATAGGGCCCTAGGAAAAAAAGAAACAGTTGGTCGAAGGGGACCAGAAACTGATGGCAGCACCCAAAAGCCCTAGATCTAAATCATACGACAGCATGCTGACTTCTAGAGCGGTATCAATACCAGCTCTTATCCAGGCAAGGCGAGTAGTTATATCTCCCTTTAATTTCACATACCAGCGGTGAAAACCCATCTCAAGAGAAGGAAACCCCCGAAATCGTGAGTTTTCTGGAAACCAGATGTCTGCAACCGACGACTTCTGAACAGGAAGCAATTCTCCTATTCTCTTTGGAAAACAGGGACGAAGAGAAGCGGGAATCTGGTGATGATTGTGAAAGCAAGGACCCAGAATGAGTTGGTTGGAGGATTCATCGACCAAGTGCAATAGTCGAAAGTCACAGTTCGAAGACTCTTGATCATGACGTAGTTGATCAAATTTCTCAATGTATGATTTGGGAGAATATTTGCGGGCCATGAGTGCGGATTGAGTGAAAAATTTGAAGGAAAACGAAGGAGTGGAAAACTGAGAAGAAAACCTAGAATCGAAGAAGAAGATGGAAGGTCAAAAGTTGCAATTTTTCACTAGGATACGACGGTTCAAGTGATTCGCTATCATGAAGATCTGCTAGGTCATAAATGCTCGAGATGACGTGTCAAAGAAAAGCGAAGTGTTTCGGGAAGGATGAGCAAATACAAGTTATGAGGCATTAAGAGTAAAATTATTCAAGTCAAAAATTAGTTTTAAAAGAATTAAACAAAAGAATTAATTCTTTTAAAAGGGGGCATATGTTGACACCTGAAATTAATTAGAGATATCGACGCTTAGGATAGATGAATAAAATGACAAGAGATGACGTCACCTGTACTAAATGGCAGCTGGTAGGTACGGGCAGTCATAAACGGGAAATTTGAAATTCAGATGGATGGGGATAAAAAATGCTGAAGGTATTTTCATCGAAGATGTCGACAAGGAGAAGAACGAATGTCAAGCTAGGAAAGATTCGATGAAAGCCTTTGCTCCAGAAAAGACAGATGTCCAAGTACCAAATGTGCTTTTCATCGATGAAATCGATGAAAAGGATGATGGATGTCAAGTCAGAAAAGCTCGACGAAGGTCCTTATTTCTGGTAGACAGGTGTCAAATGGAGAAAAAGGTCGATAACGGTTATCATCCCGAGAGACAGGTGTCAAACG